GAGAGAGAGAGATCTAATTTCTTGAATTTTTTAAACAATAATTATTAATACTATTCATTATTATATAATAATAAAGGTCTATATATATATCATATACGATATAGTATCATAAACATGAATAAACAATATTTGGAGGCAAAAGAAAGAATGAGGATTTCAAATATAAAATTTTAATTTCGAGAATTTATTGATTTCCAAAATATTAATAAAAAACTTTCAATATTATACATTGAAGCATATACAGACGTTACCAATGCATTAAATGATATCTAACCAAATTTATTAACGCAATTATATTTTCTATAATATAATATAATATATGAAGGTGTCCCATAAGTTTCTTTCACATTACGTTGGAATGACTTCAACTTGCTATTTTTATATAAATATGCAGGTTTATTAGCCTTATTAGATTTAGAGCTGATAATTTTAACTTGAAAGATGAAGATGAGCAGCAGCCGCCAGCAATGGATGAATATGGACCTTATCAAAATTATGTTTGTTGAAAATCCACGATATAATATGCACGAGATAGTAGATATCACTAACATTTCCAGAACAACGGTACATAATCATTCGATCAGGATGAGATATATCAATCGATGGAAAGTTTCCAAGTTATTCACGGAAACTGGCCTTATGAATCGCGTCTCTATGTGCGATTTGCTTCTCCAGCGACATGAAACAGATCCTTTCTTAAAAAGCTTGTCATTGGAGACGAAATTTAGATTTTGTATCGAAAAATGTGCATCGAAAATGCACTTGATCTAAGAACAATAGATCTTTGCGAAACTTGGACTTCACTCGAAATTCTTTTGTCCATTTGATGGGACTGGAAAGGTGTAGTATAAGCTCCTTCCTTAAGATGAAATCATCAATTCTGCAAAATATTGCAATCATCTCCATAAATTGAAAACAACTATAGCAGAAAAACGGCCAGAATTGGCAAATCAACGAGGCATCCTTTTTCATTATGACAATGTAAAACCGCATGTTGCATTGATTATAAGAGAAAAGCTGTTATAGTTTGATTGCGATGTTCTACCGCATTTTCCGTAGATCTTGCTCTATTCGATTATTATTTGTTCCTATTATTAAAAAAATTCTCTTCATGATAAACAGTTCCAATCCGTAAGCGAAATAAGAACGCATCTCGAGAAATATTTTGCAAGTAGCAATTTTGGAAAGAGGGAATAATGAGGTTTCCTAAGAGATGAAAGAAGGTGATAGAGCAAAACGGTTCATATATAAATCGCAATAAATCAACCTTAAACAACAAATGTGTATTCATTTCGTATCAAAAAAAAAAAAAAAGAAAGAAACTTATGGGAAACTCTAATAATATAACTCTAATATATAATATAATATTCTATAAAATTTCTATTCTATAAAATTTTCTATAATATAATATATATCTTCTATAATAATCGTCGAAATAGTAATAGTATTAAATCGAATAATTAAATTTTTTTCATTAATATTTTGGAAACTAATAAATTTCCGAAATTAAAATTTTATATTTATATTTAGAATTTTTTCCCTTTTAAATATCGAAACTATAGTTTAACTATGGTTTTTTTTTTAGAAATTAATTTAAAAAAAAAAATTTTTTTCATTGAAAATATTTTTTGAATTTTCAATAATTACTTAACAATAATTTATTATATTCATTTTCGTGAATATTTATTTATTTATAAAGTTATAAGATCAAGAGATAATGCTAATAATATTCTATAACAATCAATTTGTACATCACAAATTTACGATGTATCACTATAATTTTATTTTCTTGTCAATACGATTTGACAAAAATCATTTCTTCGCTTAGCGTTTATCGAAAAGTACATAAACATTGATTCATTTGATTCTTAATCATTAATAATTATTTCATCACATTGAATGTTATTCATGAACAAAAAAATCATTACCAATGCCAAACTTTTAAATCAATGCTAAAATTCTAAAGATATGACAGATAAGATTTGATCCTTGAAAATCTATAAGTTAATTGATCTATTTTTACATCTAATTATCATAGTCAATTACAGAAATTGTATTACGAAATAATAAAATAAAAAACAACTATTATGAATATCAAATATATATAGAGTTCTATTCTACATGATACAATTGTTATATAAGTTCAGATGATATAATTCTTTATTATTGTCAATTAATTTATCTAAGTAATTTTTCATGTCACTAGTTACCGCGTTATATCTTTTCCACTGTTACAAAATCGATATGACTTTTCAAAACAAAGTTAATACGATTTTACATTATTAGCAGATTAACAGAACAAAGATAAAGTTCATATACCAAAAAAATTTTACGTTGTCACTGAATAGATTTACAAGATTCTATTAATTCGAGGTTATAAAATTCAAATGCGTTCAATAATTCAATAATTCGAATTGTTCTAATAGTTCAATAAGTAAAAACGTTTTCTTTTGTTCAATGGTTCAAAGGTTTAAAAGGTTCTAATTTTTTCTCGAATTTTATTAAACGCCTCTAAAACATCCTTTCACGCTCATGTCGTAAAATCATGGATCTTTAATGGTATATTAATACCATAGTCCAGTTCCTTGATTAAGCGATATCATCAATTTAAGAAAAATTCCTAACATTATTAAGAGGTCTTCACAGAGTCCGGAAAATTGATACAAGTATTTGTAATAATAATTTATAATTTTTCTTAAAAAGAATGATACTAATTGCCATTGAAATATCGCTGAAAAATACCATTTCAAGACCACCTTCACATTCCAGTTATATTGAAATTTTTTAAAAAATATACAATTCTTTTAAATTCTTCTCTTAAAAAGGACACTATCCTCATGCAACATCATTTTGTATCATCTGTTTAATATTTTAATAATTATGTAATTATATCATACATATATCATATATCATAATATATATATATATATAATATAATTGTAATAAAATACTGAACAAATATATATAATATAAAATAATATGTATGTATTATATTCCGCAATATATAATATTAAGTTTCAAAAGCAATGCATAGAATACTATTTCTGAAGAAAATCAACTAAAAAAATGTTCTAAAACTTGTACAAACTGTAGGTTTTAGTAATAATATCATATTAATATTCGAAATTCGTATTAAATACTAACGGATCTTCTATCCTTGTACTATAATGAATACTTTTTCCATTGTTTTTTATGTATGTAATATAAATACTTGATATTTATAAAATATTAATATATGTGTATTTTATACAATATGTATAAGAATGATACAATTTTTCAAAAAAATTCGTTAATAATATTTATCTATAATGTCTAAGATACTAAAACTTTTTATTTTAAATTAAAGTAATGTACATTTATGAATATAGAATATAATATATCACTTTTCTTAATTTTTGTATTTGCACTAATAATTAAAGTAAATTAATGGAACAAAAAAATCGAACTATTATTGTGCTACTATTTTCCAATAATGAAAAAAATTTTTCTTTTTCTTTCAGATTTAATGTGTAAAGAATAATTTCTCTAAAATCAATTTTTAAATATGTTGACTTTATTTTTGATTTTCTAATTCTTAATTTTATTATATTATCAATTGTAATATTTTTTTCTTCTTATTCAATAAATTTAATGATAATATATTTTAAAACAATATATGAAATGATATTTACAATTTAAATGTACACAAATTAAGGATACTTGCTTGTTGAATATTATTTAAGAATAAATGATATTCTTTGATTCGTTTCAAATTTAATATATAAATTGAATAAATTTCTTTATTCAATTCAAAATTATTATTTTTATATCGTAAGAAATATTATTTTTTGTTGTAAGAAAACAAAAATAGTATCATTATATTAGTAAACATTATATTAGTAAAGATTTATAAAATATATAAAAATAATGATTTTTAGACAGTTTGCGATATTTTTAAAAATTTCTTAAAATTCAAATTCATATTTTATTAACATTTTTAAATAATAAAATGTTTTATTTAAAATTCATAAATAGCAAAAAAGAATTTTGTTCTTATTTTTTCAATTTAATATTATTTTAAATATTCTTAAACAAAGCATATTTGAAAAAAAATGTATTGTGATAAGGTAAGCATAGACTTATATTATTTTTAATTCTAATTTATTGATTTTCTATTATTTCTTATATAAATCATAGTTTAATAATCTATAAATTATTTAAATCCAAAATCATAAATATTATAAATATATTATAAATTATATTCTTCAATCTTACATTTCAAAATATTTATTTATGATATATACGATATACATATAATAAATTATATAATAATTAATATATCAAAAAATAATAATATGAATTAATATTCATTAATTAAAAAATTAAAAAATAAAGTATATATATATTATCATAGCTTGGCTTAGTTTTTGAAATTTTACAAAAATACTTTTAATATCATATATCATATTCTGTAAATTTGAAATAAATTTGTATTGAATTTAATATTTATATTTACATTTTGTATTTACATTCTATTGGATTATGTTGTAATTTTTACTTAATCTTTTCAATATTTTCATTATCCATAGAAAGTTTGAGCATTCCATATATTTTTCAATTTTATGAAATGCAAAAATAAAGAGTTACAATAGAATTGCAATAATAGATACTAATTATGATACTAATGTTGCGATTATTATAACTTTGTTCATTATAATTCCAATCGTTCAAGACTTTTTATATTTATATTTTTCTTTATATTTTATTTTTGTATTCTACGAATTTAAATGGGGATTCCTTTAAATCTGCAGAATATCCAAATCTATTATTAATTTGGTGAATTGAGATTGAAATATTTCAAGAATATTTCGTAAAAATTCATAAGAAAATAGCTTTTTGATTCACACGTTCTTCTTCATTTTGGATGTCTATGCTGCGATATTATGTATTTTGGCAATTATTTCAACAACTAAAACTACACAAGTTTCAATAAGTATATTAGTTATAATTGAGCACGCTTATATCGATCTATCAGATACTTGTGCTCCAAGTACATACATATTCCAATAAATCTATCAATTTTCTTTATTTTTGGATATGAAGTTTTTCTAGAGAGAAAATTAAAGTTTTTCTAGAAAGAATTTAATTATCAATTTTGAATATATATATATTGTTTTTACATAATTATAATTTTTTTTTCAAGTTCTATAAACGGATTCGCTTTTATAAATTTCTATGAATTTTTCTATATATTCTTGACGAAATATCGAAACTCTTATAAGACAAAATCTCGTATATATATATTCATTTCATATTTTATTGTAAATTTTAATATTATATGAATTACAAAATTTTGTTTACGATGAACTAATTGAAATAACAAGTGTTATTATATATGCTTTGATCTCAAGTTATTCAGGCAAATAATTATCGAATGATTTCTCATATTTGTTTTGATTACTTGTATAGATCAAAATAATTTCATAGATTTATCATACACATATAAACCTACACATATATTTAGTACAGTTATAATTCATAGATTAATCGAAACATATATAATCGATTTAAAATCGAGCGTTGATATGTATAGAAAAAAATTGTTCAAAATGTTGATTTCTATAATATATTTCAAGATTATTTAAATTGATGCTAATATTTCCAATAATTTTAAATCTTAAATTTTACTACAGAACTTATTGAAACTTATATTATAGTATCATCCAAATAAAATTTTTCGTTCAATTTATCATTTATCATTAAAATTTTTTGAATCACTGAAACTGAAAATCGTAATCATTTTTATAATAAACGGAATAAATGGTTTTTAAAGAGCACAAAAAAAATTTAAGAATTTTCGTAATGTATTATGTATTCTTGTAAAAACATATGACGATCCAAATAATATAAATCCTTCGAGAACCGTCAATATAAATATAAATAATTCGTTAATTTTTGATATTATAAATTTTGATGTTGTGAATTTAATTAGCATTATTCGATTATTATAATTAGCATAATTCGATTATAATTCGATATAAAAATTATTTTATTTTTTAACTTGTTATTATTATTATTGTATATAATATACATATTTTATACATAAAACATTTCAAGACATTTTAAAAGCTATTCCGTATAAAATTATGATTTTCGAATTTAGTCCTTGGAAAAATCCTGGAAATGGTAAATTTGAACCAAAAATTTTAAGCAATATTATAATATGTTCAAGAGATTATAATTATATTATAATATTATTCCAAATAAAAGATTAAAAAATTAAATAACTAATAAAATTTCAATTATTATGTCTCTTTTAATTTCAAAAATAAAAAAGATTCGAAAATAGAAAATACAAATGGAAAAAATACATATTACATAAATATACATAAATACATATATTTCTAATAGTAGTCAAATAATGACGAATAATGAAAATAATGGACAATTCCCTAAATATGTAAATAGCTTCTTCATCTTTATTCAAATTTTTAAATCAATATGCATCTGAATTCTAATATCAACAGTATCCATAAATCAGAATATTATTATCAAACTAAATTACCAAACTATTCCATTACATGACGAGGACTACGTTTCATATAAAGCAAAACCGTATATAACGAACAGGAATTTATCGAATTGATTTGTGTATCTGGGTCACGATATTAAGTGCATTAATAGACGAAACAATATAGAGAATTATTTGATTAGATTGATTAAATAGCATTTTCGATTTATACTAAGAGAGGTCAAAGTGATATTGATTATGATATTATATATTTTCTGTTGCTTGTAATCGTTCAATTCTAGATTAACTGCGTCGTATTTTCATTTTTGCATCTAAAATCACCACACATAATTCAACGAAGTAAATTTCATGTTTTAGAAATAGTCTAATATTTTTTTAAAAATTCAACTATCTGATATATGTCAGAGAAAAAAATATTGAAAAATTATTACAATTTTTGTTTATTTAATGCATTAATTATGGATCAATTACTTGTTGAACTATCTCGTCGGAATTATTATAGATACAATTTTTTGGTATAAATTTAATTAGATTTATTTTTTCATATAAATTTAATTTAAATTTAAAGATTCAATCACTTTAGGAATAAATTTATCCAGAATTATTATTATATATCCGGATTATTCTTTTTTTCTATTAATTATATTTATTTAAAGTATATTTATAAATATGAATTTTTTGTGTTTACGCAGTAAAATTTGAATATTTTATTCTAATTAATTTATACTAATAATTTAGAAAATATTTTAGAGAACCATTTATAATTTAAATATATTTTCATATTTTAATATATGAAATAAATATGTTCTATATATTCAAATATCGAAATAGAATATTGTGATTAAAAAAATGAACACAATAAATGCAATAAAAAATGAAAAAATTTTTTTGTACTTAACAATTATGTTTTTCGAATAAAGAAAAAAATAATAAAAAAATAAATACACATAATTACCATTATTTTTCAAATAAAACATTATTTTTTGACAAATAAGGCATGAATACTATAAAAAAATAATATGTTTAAATTATTTCATATATTTATTTATAAAATATCAATAATTAATTCTTAATAATTTATAATACTATAATAATATTAAAATATTATCATAAAGTAAAATTCTAAAAAAAATAGTTTTTACAACATTTTTACAAACCATCGTGTAAAAGAAATATCGAATAATATTTTGTTTCTACATTATTATTTAATTATTAATTAATTAATAAAAATATAAATATAATAAATGATGCATTAAATAATATCTCCTGAATAGAGAACATTTATTTTTTTCAATTGATTTTGTATAGAGTTTGTATAAAGTTTATTTAGAAATTAATTTTTGAAAAAATCGAATTTTAAAATTTGCCGATTATATGATTCTTTAATTATATATATTCAATTTTGATTTTCTAAAAAATCAAGAATGAAATTAAAGAATTATAATAAATATTTATGTGATAAAATTTTATTCTATTAATTTTTTGCTTATTTTTATATAAGTTATTACTTATTAATAGTTCATTCGTATCTAATCAGAAATTAACCAATTTCATTTATATTTAAAAAGTTATCAAACTTATCTTGAAAATGAATCCTCAAATGAATAACTTTTATATTTTCTACTTATTTTTTCCCTTTAGAATTAATTGCCAAAAACTTTTCATATTTTAACTTTATAAGCAACAATAATGGAACATACAAGTATAGTATATCTATGAATAATAGAAAATTTCTCAATAATACATTTTTGCCTTTGGTAAATGCAGAATTATCTCCATTATGTGATTCTCAAATATTGGCGTCAACGAATAGTCGAATATTGATTTTTTTTTCTATTTTATCCAAGTTTATTGTTTCTCATTTTTATTAAAAAAAGATTTTAATTTCCAAAATAGCTAATTCTTCTGCAATGCAGTTTCATCATGTATATACTCGGGATACTAATTCATAGATTAAGAAAATGAATTTTTATTATAAAATTCAATGAAAATATACATTATTTCACATTTTTATAATTTAAACATATATAATAATAAGATTTAAATATATATAATAAGTAAGATGCAATATATTAAATGATCTTTTAATTAGTAGTAAAAGATAATTTTTGTTTTATGTAATAAAAAATAATAATAATAATAATAAATTAATAAAAAAATTTTTCCATTCTTAATGTTATTACTTGTAGATTAGCCTCTTGACTTCTATGATAAAATCGAATTTTCATTGAAAAAAAAAATTATAATAATAAATATGCATTAATATTTTATAAATTTAAAACACATTGATTTTTGATTCTTTTCTTTTTTTTTTATTTCAAATGCAAATAGTATCAAAAAAATTTTCATCATCTCTAATTATATATTATATGAAATTCAGTCACTGATCATTCTTAACAATTCGAAATTATTATATAATATATATATAGTCTCACGAATTTTAAATTTTTAATTTAAAATTCTCTAATTCTTGCTGATACAAAACGTGCTATATTCACCATCACATATGTTACATGTATATAAAAAATTTTTTTTTATTTTCAGATCTCTTTTTCTTTTTTAATTTGTTTTAGAATTCAATCAAGCTTTCATCGATATTTTTTGTACTATGATTGAAAGAAGAATAGAAAATATTTATTGAAAATATATCTCAAAATTAACGGTAGCTTTCGTTCATACATCAATCCAATCTACCTGCACGAAACCGGTCCGAAAAGTTGCACTTTCACATACCTGTATTCGCGGTGAGGGAATCGCATTACATGGACCGATCAAAGAATGACGTTCTTTCTTCTTCCCAGAAAACGTCGCGAGAAAACAGGATTGTTCGTTCCCATAGAAGAAATATTTTATAATCAATTGGCAAACAAACCGCTCGTTCTGATCAATTAACACGAATTAAACTATAAATATCTATCAATACAATCATTTACGAAATTCATTTGTAATAAAAAAATAAAAGTATAAATAAAAAAATCATTTTTATTAAAATAAAATTCTATCATAAAATTTCACAATAAAATTAATAATATTTTATATGAAGAGGCTTAAAAAAAATTATATTATTATTAACTATATGTTTTCTTTTTTTTATGAAATGAAGCTTTAAAATTTTAGACTTTTTCATTGTAAACATTTATATATTTAGCATTTATAATCCTTAAAAAATAACAAAATAACACAAGTTATACCGATTTTAGCGAGTGAAACAAAAAAAATTGTAGATAGATACAATTTAAATTTACAAAATTTACAAAATAGGGACAAAAATATTTGTAACAATTAATATCTTGATCACTATTGTTACATAAACATTAGATTATTTAATAAATTAACTCTAAAGAGAGATATAATAAAATTTACTTTTTATATCAAAAAATATTACTATATGATATTATAAATGATTTAGATATTATAATTATTAATATTTTATAAAATATAAAAAAATTTTATACATTTTATATTACAAAATTTTATTTATTAACTTATAAACAATTGAAATTTGTGTTAGATGAAAATATAAAGAGAAAAATATTTTGCGTCATTTTATTAAAATATTTAATTTAAATATTAAATATCTATCTTTTACACACTTTTTTATAGTATTATAAAATAATCCTATATTTAGAAATATACAATAAAATAAAATAAAAAAAGAATAAAAATAATGATTTAAATTATTTTATGTATTAAATCATTTTATTGTTATCAATAAAATTGTTATCCATCGATAAAGTTAAATTAATAAAATTAAATTTGAAAGGTATATCATTAAGTATGTTTAATGGAAAATATAATGAAAAAATATTTTATTAAAAAAAATAATATTAATCAATATAATTAATCAATATAATTAATATAATTAATAAGAAATAAGATCACAAGAAATAAAAACATAAAAATAAGTAATACAAAATATATATTTATCTTTTTAGAAAATTTTATTATAAATTTTTAAAGTTTCAATAAATAACTATAGCATGTTTTAACACATGTTTCTAACATGTTTGAAAACGTGTTTCTATTAAAATTTAATGTAGTCTTTACTAATCACAATTTTTGCCGAATTAAAAATTTTGATTCTTGTACATTACTCTAAACATTAGATTATTAAAAATTTCAATTTATCAATGTCAAATTTGAATTAAATATATATTTAAAATATATAAATGTTAAATTTTTATATGTTTATAATAAATGTTTATAAATGTTAAAATTAAAAATTTGATATCGCTTTAAAGTATCTTTTTAATCAATTTTCAAACAGTAACATATTTAACACGATTCAAAAATAAAATAAAAATAATATATATTATATGACATACTGATATCTAATCATAGTTATTATATTATATATGTATATATACATATGTGTAACATAAAATCGATCATCCTTTAGAAATCGAATAAGAATATGATTTATAAAATTTGAGCGATTTGAATTTTTTGAGATTTTAGAAGAATTATTTTATTAAACAATACAAAAAATTAAAATATTTTTTTTAAATTTATTAATTTAAATCGAGAAAAAAATGAAAATAATGATTTATATAAAAAATATGTTAAAAAAATTTTAAATATATCTTTTGTAAATCTAAGTTTTATATATGCATAAAATTTCATCAAAATCGATTAATGCATCGCAAAGCAACAGATATCGAATGATGGAAAAATATTTAGATTTATTATATTATTACATTATAATATATTATTATTACATTTTATTATGTTATTACTTTATTATATATTTTTATCGAAAATATATAAAAAAATTTCAAATTTGAGCATTTTCGATCATTTATAGTTTAGAACAACATTAATACAATTATTTAATAAATTAATATAAATAATTTTTTTAACATCTTAAAAAAAAATTAAGTTTTTTGATTCTTAAAAAAAGTTATAAATAACCGAGTTTCACAATGTGCTATTCTACATTAATTTCCATTCGTTCATTTCCTCTTTCATTGTTAAAAAAACTTTTAGTTTGATTATATATTTACATACATAGTATACATAATATATATATATATATATATATAAGGTGATAAGGTGATATACAAGTATACAAATATATAAATGAAATAACTTTAATTATTTCGTAAATAATGATTTTAATGAAAAATGTTTCAGATAAAAATTAAATACTTATGAAGATATTTAATATAAATAATTTTTTTTATAATTAGACGTATAATAAATATATAAAAATCAATTATATTTTTAAATAGAATTGTATATTTTGTTAATCTATTGTTAATTCTATTGATTATTTTTCATAAAAAGAAGAATTGAAAAATTAGTTTAAACAAATTAAAAAATATATTTTAATTAATTAATTTAAATTCTTTGAAACTTTTCGAAGAGACAAAAGAAAACATTAAAAGACAAAAAATAAGAACTTTTCCATTTGTTTTCCTTATATTTCATACAAAAAGTTTGTAAAATTTAAGTTAAAATATTTTATACATTAATATTTTTTTTAGACAATAAATAAATTAATTATTTCTATATATTATTTTATATATTTCTATTTTTATGGAAAATGATCAGCAGAATCAATTATCGTAATAACAAATATATATAATTTCATTTAAAAAAACACATTTAATTTTTATATGCTTTCCAAAAAAACAGTTTTACAAAAAAACTATTTACATTGAATTCTTTAAAACTATTTAACTTTATCTGAATTTTTAATTAAAATCATTATTTATGAAGTAACCGAAATTATATGCTTTACTTTATATATATGCATATAATGGAACGATTTACATACACGATTTACAAGATAAAGTTCAAAAAAATCAGATAGTTATAAATAATTATTATTGAATGAAGATCGAACAAATTATTATCAAAACATAATCAATAGTTTGTAATAATATTCGTTACATATAAAGCTATTAGAAATATTAATTACCATATATATATATATATATATATACACACACAATTTGTGGTTAGAAATGCGAGAATGTGAATATTAATTCGATATTTCCGCGATGAAATCAGAACAAGCAGTTGTTATTATTAATAATGTGATATCGTGCAACAATCTATTTCTGAAAAATAAAATTTATTCATATATATAATACACATAATCATACACATATACAGGCATAAAATATTATGTTAAAAATTAGTGTACTATTATATATAATAGAACACTAATTAGATTAATACGATATGATTTTCCCGATTCGCAGAACAGGAATTCATCAATTAATGTTAAGCCGTGATTATGACGTAAAAATTGATCGATATTTGAACAAAACACGTATATACCTCGAACAAAACAACTTTTTTTTTTGCCAACAATTTACAATTTCTTCAATTTCTACAAATAATCTCGCTGTTAAATGTAATAAAAAAGATTCGACGAGTTATCGTTTTTTTTACTCAATCAATGAATATATAACATATATATATAGAATAGAGCATATAAATAAAATTTCTATTTCTTAATAAATAATGATTTCAGCAAAACAATATTTTACAATTAGATAAATATTAAATGATTTTAAGAAAACCATATAGTGAATTCGATTTTTTTATCACTTATATTTTTATAAATTATATATGAAAATTATATTATTTTCTACAAATTTATAATATTAAAATAAAGCCAATTATTAAATAATAACAATAATATAAATATTATAATAAATGATAATAGTGATAAGAATTAATAGAGAAAATAAATACAATAATGAAAATGAATGATGAGAGTTCTATTAAAGAATTTTTTAAAAAAATATTATAATCAATATATTAAAGATTGATACTATATGTAGATATTACTTGATATCCTATAGATATCAAGGAGGAAAAAGAAGTTTAATTTTTATGTAAAAAATTAATTATGATTTTAATTTATAATTCAAAAATATACAAATGGTAAGAATGGAATAATCGTTGCATAGTTTACGTTACAACTTGATTTTGAATCATGATTTTCATCTGAAACAACTATCACAAAATCATATAGCATAATTTTAATAATATGCTCTATTCAATATACACAATATACACATATAATATTTTATCGGTTTCGTAGACAATGAATGGAAAAACAAAATCTATGCATATTATTCCATTAAATACTTGGCCGAGCACGTGTGTTCGCATTAATTGATGGATCGAAATTAAAAATGAAAATTAAACATTTTTTGGAGATACTGCTAACCTCTCTTACGCACAGTTTTTCACCTTAACACTTGTACAACTCGAAATGATTTTCATTTTCATATTATTGATATAAATAAATATATATATTTATAACCTAAAATTATTCTATTTTAGCAAAGGATTTTAACATTATCGAAAACATCCCATAGTACCGATGAGTTTATGAAATCATCCTATTGCAAATTTGTCAAATTTTGTCAAATTTGAAGCGCTTCTTAAGCTGCAATTGCTCAATTGTTTGTTACACTTTTTGCTCGAGGCATACACATTTCTTACGCGATTATTTGATTACTATCTGAGAGTGATTAATGATTTCGAATTAATTCTTCTAAAAATCTTTCGTTTTTTTATCAATAGTTATCAATAGAATAGGATCCATTGCTCTCCCACATCCAAACAATTCGTAATACATAGAATCAATCAATTTGTGTGTCTCGTCTTTCGAATATAAAACTTCCCGGTTTCCATAGGAAATCAAAAAAATAAAATTTCAACAATTCTCAAACGAAAAATATCTAGTAGTCATTTAAAATTGAATAGCTATTATACGCAATACTTATACAATATAAATGAATTTATTTCCATATGTTTATTGTGAATCTTCTAGAATTAAATAAGCTAAAGTTAAAATTATATAAAATAATATATAAAATAATTAAATAGTTGATTGGTATTATATATAAATAAAAAATAATCAAACTCAAGGAATATTAAAATGAAAATGAAAAATTATAAATACAATATATTACAAATATATATTTATTAATATTAATTAAATATTATAAATAATTTATTAAATATTATTAATATTAATTAAATATTATAAATAATTTATTAAATATTATTAATATTAATTAAATATTATAAATAATTTATTAAATATTAATTAAATATTATAAATAATTTATTAAATATTATTAATATTAATTAAGTAATTTATTATAAATATTTTTGAATTCATTTCGAAATATTATATATATTGTAATTTTGGTACTTGTATTTTATTATAGTTATAATATTACTTCATTTATTAATATTTACATATTTAAAAATTCAAGCATGACACAAATATTTTTATTTTTTAAATTTTTACAAACTTCGTCAATTATCATTTTTTGCTATAAATAAATATACGTTATTTAACCATATTAGTAAATATCAGTAATATATCAATAATATATTCTTAAATAAAATAATATATCAGTAAATATATTCTTTGTAATATATATATATTAATTTCGTAGTTTACAAATCATGATAAAGCGATCTTTTTCGAAAAATAATAAAACGAAACATTTCTTATATCTATGGAATATTTTATTCTTTAAATTTTTTCATTTTATTTATATAATATTTTATATTTATATTCTACTTACCCTATTAATCAATTAATTTTTTATTTTTAATTCTAAAACATTTATATAATGAGATTCATTATGATTCAATGCAATATTTTCAGAAAGATCGTATCTTTTTGTGAGATCATTCCAATAATTTACTAAGTAATACGAGAAGATAATAAAAAAATGCATGTATTTTATATAAAATTTTTAGTTTAAAAAAATATTTATTTTAATCTTCAATTATTTTAATGTTATTTAACTGATAATGTAATATGTAATATGTTAAAAGTAACAGGCATATAAACAGATTATAGTTATATTCATTCAATTTTAAGATTTTCTATATATATATATTATATATAGTATATATGACATTATATATTATATTGTGTTATATAAACAAGACAAAAACTTTTTTAAATTTTAATATAATTTTAAAAGTTACGTAAAAAAAAAGTAATACTGAATGAAATATTAAAAAAAAAAAAACTATAACAAATGAAAAATATTTGTAAATTTTTTCATTTAATTATAAATTATATCCATATAATTGCGATGATCTATATCCAAGATTCTTACAACAATTATTATAATTTCGAATATTGTAATAGAAAATCATTTCGAATTAAAGAAAATTCAGATAACTGTCGATTACTTAATGACTAATCATTATTAAAAACTAGCTACAACATACAAAGGAAATAGAATCGTTTTTCGAATAAGGTAAAAAGATTAAAAGAACAAAATAAAAAATTAAATTAAAAGAAAAAAATATACTTACTGCAAACTGTTGGATCTTCATCCGAGCCATCTCGACAGTCATTGTCGCCATCGCAATGCCACGTTCCGGGTATGCATTTGCCGTTCGTGCACTTGAACTCCGTATCAGAACATTTTTGGGGACCTGGAAGTGTTTCATCATCATCACTGATGGATGCTAAGTGCACGATGCATGCCAATTGCAGGATCATTAAGAGCGTTGTTATGCACATGCATCGCGATGCGTTGAAAAAACATATCGATGTTCCAGTGAACCGCATGCTCTCGTGATAAAATGTTTCAGTCCCTTTTTCAGTCACGAAATGAACGTTCAGGTTCACCGAAGAGAGATGACACTACGATTGTATATCTTCGGAAACGCTACTTTAATTGCTGATTCAAGATAAAAATTTTCAACGAAGAACACTTTTCAACGAGATTCTTTTCTCTTTTTCTCCCAACAGTTTTTGTTTATTATCAACTTTTCCTTCTCTCCTTCTTCTCCTTCTTATACTCTCTTTATATCAGAATAGCAGAAAATTATTTAATTTCAAATACCATGTTATGTAAAATGAATCAATAAAACATATGCGATTATCACGGCGGTGAAATTATACTAGGCAAAAAATTAACGAGGCAAAAATATCAATTAGTACCGAAATATTAGAACCATCTATTTAGAGCATCATTCGAATTTCATATCCTTGAAACGAATGAAATTCTTTCGCCTCGTTCGATGAAAAAATCTGTCTGTTCCGCAGAGATTTCTTTTTCCAACGGATTCACAATACTCTTATTCTTTCTTTTTTTCTCTTTTCTCTCTTGACTTAATCACCGATTTACTCTAAGAGAACACTTTTCAGATTTGACCAAACAATCATTCGTAAAATAGTTTTCCAATAAATCAAATCTCCTGTCAATAATTTTTCTTTTCTAGATTGTTTTCGATACTTCTCCTTTCTTTTTCTATTTCTGTTTCATTGAAATCACTAAATGGATGTAGAACATAAAGATGAAACGAAAAAGAGATGAAAGAAAAAAATTCAACCAAACTTTTCGTAATCTCTGAAAGTTTCGAGTTAATGTGATAAAGATACGATCAGATTGTTGTAGAATGTAACACGAAAACAGAATTGAAACGTTTCTCTATATAAAATTACAACTACCCCGAATATGATAATCTATATAACTATTCCGAAAATCACAATCACAACGATGCGATGTCGATGCACTCACGCTGCCGACTACGGATGCTATAAGCGAGCGATCGAGTAAAGGGGCCCCTATATATGGGCCTGAGAACAAACACATGATATAGGTGGACAACTCACGCACACCAGTCAATACGTAAGAAAGGAGAACGCAGTTATTTGATTCGTTTTTGCTTAGGTTAACAGAATTTTGCCATGCGATTTCGTTGGATTAAGAAGTGATGAACGTATGATCAAAAATTACAACAAAGAGAGATTAATTCAACTGAAACGATAATAAGTAATGAAATTCATTCCTATGCAATGATTATCAAACTTTAGCGTCAGAATGTCATTTGCGTCGTAGTGAGAGGGCGAACGCATCTTGATCTGAAGCAATCCGCGTTTGTTTCGCAATCAAAATAATCGAATTATTTGTCTCCGCATATCATTAAGATTATTAGAAAGTATTATTTTCTACTAATCGATGATATAAGAAAAATAAATAACAATTTTTTTATTGTACATTGTATAGACGTATAAATCAAAAAAAAATGAAATAGAAAAGAAAGAAGATGAAAGATTTGGTGGAATTTTGTAATTATTCGTGCATAAAAATAAAATAAGCATTTTGGTAATTCATTTTTTCACATTCGTTTTGAAAGTAGATATTTGTGAAAATTATTTGTTTATTATTCGAATATATTATATTATATAACATATATAATACGTAATATATATTTTAATGTTATGTCAATATATATATATACATTCACTATAATTATTCCAGAATATTTATATACAAAATATTAATACATTCGTGGTATATTTTTGGAAAATTCGATTCTAGAGATCAAAATAAAGTTAATGTATAAAAATGTTAGGAAATTTAGGAAGTTTATTTATTATAAATTATAAGCAATTGTAATTAAATAAAACAAAAATAAAATAAGATAAAAATAGCTCTATCTTTGTAACATGGCCGTTTGCTTTCCTTCTAGAATTCTAAACTTCTAAAAATATCTTAAATTTTTAACGCTTTGTGTATATTCTATTGCATGTTAAAAATATATAATATTTAATATTATTTGTTAAATATCTACAATTTTATTTGATTTTAATTTCAAATAAACCTCGCGCTAGTCAAATTTCAATCAAAACTTGCTAATGATAAGAAATTAAATTCGAATCTTAAGAATATTAAGTTATCTAAGAATATTTATTTAGAAAAAAATAGTAATGCTGAATTTCTAATATCATTGATTTTTTTTAAATTCATTTAAAACATAATATATATTTAAATAGTATTATATATGACAAAAATATGACAAAAATAATTAATTTATTATGATAAAAATAATTAATTTAAATGTATTCATAATCAATTATGAAAGGTTAATCAACATTAATCTTTTTAATAAATCTTATTTTAAAAAGAAAATTAAAAGATATTTATTTTAATAACTAATAATTTATATTTTCATTATGAAAACATATTTAATTTTTTATTTTAGATGTACAAATTAATTTATATATACTTAAAATTGTTCAATTTATAAGTTTATTATTTTCATTGTATATTTTATTGTTTTTTTATTCATAATTTTTTTAAATTTAATAATCATACAGATAATTAAAAAATATAAAAAATAATTATTAAAAATCGCAAAGTATTATTTTGAAATTATTTTACCTACGATAAATAACATGCTATAAAATTTTCGAAGTAATATTATAATACAAATTATAAGTACTCAAGATAATGATTTTAAATTTCGCAATTAAAATGATTAATAATTTCGTTAATTAATTATTGTTAATTAATTTCGTTAATTAAAAAATATATAAAAAAAATATTAAAATAATTTTTCAAATAAATTGATTATTAATGTTATTAATTACAAAAATAAAGAATATTAACTTTAACCGTTCTAGAATTAGAATTACAATTTCAAATTTTTTCTATAACAATTAAATATAAAACTCATTAATAATAAAATGAATTAATTTAAAAACAATTAAAAAATAAACTAAAAACATTTAATTTAAAATATTTAATTGAGCAAGTAATTGATTCGATTTACAATAATTTATTATAATATATCTGATTATTATATTATATCCAATTAATTATATATATATTCGATATGTAACTGTATAATAGAAGAAAAAAATATTGCAAAATAATGTTTTCATTCGTTTAACGCAATATTTTCCAACCTATCAAACCTTTAAGAAATATAAGTTTTTTAAGAAAATTCCATTATAATTATCTATCATATTGAATATTAAAAGAATGTTAAGGATTCATTATAATTATATATTGATATTAAATATTTTATATTTATTAGAACATAGGCTTTTAATATTCCATTCAATATTTTATTATCTTCGGTAATATCCTTTGTAATTCACTTCTAAAAATAAAATATTATATCATCTTTTTTATATCAGAATTATGTATAATATTTATTATACATACATTATATTGAATTATGTATATTATATATGTATAAATGTGCAATTCGATAATTTAATTTGGAGATTATATCTATTTTAAATATAAAATATAAAAAAATAACAATTATCAAGATTAATACTTTTGAAATGTTAGTATTTATTTCAAAATGATTATAAAAAATTATAAAAAATATTTTTTATCATCGTGAGTTAAAATTAAATATAAAAAAACTACGTTCATTCTATATCCTTAATCAATTATTTGCATAAAAGGAATATTTATTTTATCTTAAAAATGTATCTTTATATATATATATTATATGCGATTATAAATTATATTTATATATGTATTTATGAAAAGATAAAGTGTTTTATTTTATTTGATTAAAAAATGTTCAATAGATAAAGTAGAAATATTTCAAAATATATTAGAAGAGTTTTTTATTCATATGTTATCAAAAAGAATTAATCGACCAATTCTCTCGAGGATTCGAATACGTTCGAATATCGATCACGATTTCTCCTTTTTTTCCTGGAGCCCAATGCTCCAGTTCGATTCATAGTTACGCGGCATTCGAGTATATATGGAAGTTGAATTACCTATTTAGGTTGAACCCAGAAACGCCAATCTCTCAACTGAACTCATGTAGAGAACAGAAATACGTGCAAGACAAGTCGCGCGTTGGTCTCGAAGCAAGTATTCGTGAAAATGTTATTCATAGCTAAACTGACAAACGAAAAAAATATTAAAATCTGATGTTAAGCTCAGGAAGCTGAAAAGAATTCTGAAACGAAGAAAAGAGAAGAAAAAAAAGAAGAGAGTTTGAAACAAAGTCGAAGGAAACAAAGCAAAATAAATTTCAAAAGAGTCATTCTATAATTATCTTATTCGTTTCATGAAATTTTAAATTATACATACTGCAGTATAATTAAAATGCGATCAGCTTAATGATTACATTGAACCACATTATTTTATTGTTTGTACATGTTTGGCGCCAATAACGATGATCCGACTTTTTGTCTCTCTTTCGTTGATGAATATATATCTTTCAAAATCTGCAAACATGATATCATGGAATAATTTTAAAATATCAAAAGAAAAAAAAGAATTTATATAAAAGTATGTTCTTGAGTTATCAAAAAAAAAAAAAATTACTTTTTCCTGAAATCTTAATAACATGACAATTTATAATCACAACCTAAATATTTTTATATCGCATTCCTTATTTTCTCTTTATGATATTTAAATTTTTATTATTGATAATTTCAAATATTTTTATAAATAATAGAAATTTATAGAATCTAAATTTAAATACAGATGATTAATTCTTGTCGTATAATTTAGTTCATATAATTATATATATAATATAGAATATAATATAATATAGTATAATAAAGAATAGTATAACATAGTATAATTAAAATATAATGTATATAATAATATAGTAGTAATATATATTATAATACAATATATATTATATATAATAATTATTAT